GAGACTGAATGGGAATGTCAAGTCACCAGAACAGAATGTAGCGCCCCTCTAGATAGCCAGTTGCTAACTGTTAGTTAGAAAGGCTGAGCAGCAGCCTGGGAATAGTCAGCGGGGTCAAATTTGGGTCATGGCTGAGAGGTTCTGCAGATCAGTTCCTTAATACCACCCCCTGGCTCTAGAATCTTGAAGAAGATTCTAGAAGCAGTGGGCGGGGGAGAGGAAGGGCTGATCTGCATACTTAGGGAATCCTGACCAATCCTCAGGCGGGAGTCTTGGCATGGGGTCAGGACAGCCCTTAAGTATGACTGAGCCTGCGCAGCAGCTGGAGAGTTCGGGCGGAAGATGTGAGATAGGAAAAAATGCAGGAACCTGGGAGGGGGCCCAGTGGGAAGGGCCCACCTACAGGCTGGGATCTGGACAGGAGGATCACTCAGCCTCATCAGTGCCCAGAGGGAGGACTACCTGCGGAGCCAAGAAAAGAGCCAGCCCAGCAGAAGGCCTGAAGGCAACCACCAACCTACCAGCTCACAGGAAAGGGACTGAATGAGCCCACCACCCTCATGTGATACTGATCTTCCATAACAAAAAAAAAAAAAAATGAAACCCAATGAATGAAGGGGGAAGGCCAGGGACCGACAGGTTGGAGAGGGAAGAGTTAGATGATGATATACATCCTCAAGCCAGGAAATGTGTTGAGCTCACTTCCTGTTGTCACCAGGACAGAGACTGGATGGGAATGTCAAATTTTAAAGTGGTCACCAGAACAGAATGTAGCACCCTCTCTAGATAGCCAGTGGGGGCTAGTTGCTGTCAGTTAGGCTGAGCAGCAGCCTGGGAATAGTCAGCGGGGTCAAATTTGGGTCATGGCTGAGAGGTTCTGCAGATCAGTTCCTTAATACCCTCCCTCTGCTCTAGAATCTTGGAGAAGATTCTAGAAGCAGTGGGTGGGGATGAGGAAGGGCTGATCTGTATACTTAGGGAATCCTGACCAATCCTCAGGCGGGAGTCTTGTTATGGGGTCAGGACAGCCCTTAAGTATGACTGATCCTGCTCAGCAGCAGCTGGAGAGTTCGGGTGGAAGATGTGAGATAGGAAAAAATGCAGGAACCTGGGAGGGGGCCCAGTGGGAAGAGGCCCACCTACAGGCTGGGATCTGGACAGGAGGATCACTCAGCCTCCCCAGTGCCCACAGGAAGGACTACCTGTGGAGACAGTAAAAGAGCCAGCCCAGCAGAAGGCCTGAAGGCAACCACCAACCTACCAGCTCACAGGAAAGGGACTGAGTAGTCCTACACCCTGGCTAAGGAGAACTCTGGTGGGAAACTTGACTAGCTGTACACCCGGGACTGTTTCATTTCAAGTAGCATCCACTGGATCACCTTGCCCAGGGATTCCTCCAGACAGCTGGGTAAAGAAGAAGATTTATCTGGGATCTGGGGTGGTACACCAGGAGAGGCCGGAGAGCACTTCCAGAAGAGTTTTGCTGTGTAAAGACTTGTACATCATCACCAGGAAGTTGTCCTCAGTTTGCAGTTCCCTTGGGCATCCCATACACCCCTTACCCCATCCAAGTTCAACCCCCCTAATAAAACCTCAAAACCAAAGCTCAAGGACTGTTTACGGTCTCTCTTGAATCCAATTCTGGGAAAATGTGTGTTGCCTGGCTGTGCATATATATATATATATATATATATATATATATATATATATATATATATATATATATATATATGAGGACCCAAATCTTCAACAACTCCTAAGGGGGTTAGTGCTACAAGAAGAGGGACCATCTTTCAATGAGATCAACAGTGAGCCATGTGCACTTGGAATTCTTTGTTTCTTCCATTAGGGAAAATCCTCTCTGGTGGGGACAAAGTCTGCCGCAAAATGCTTTTGTCATGTTTCGCATGACTGTCATATGCCTTTAAGTGTTCTTTGTATTTTGTCTCTGCTCCTCCCTTTCCTCTGGTTTAGTTCATGCTGAATAGATAGCCCCACCCCTTTTCCCAGTAATGCATTGCAGCTCTAGTCTCATGACATGAAGCAGATCACATTATGATCTTTTGACCTATCAAATGTTCATTGTTGTAAGATTCTCTCAGTTTATGGAATAAACTTCACAAGATCTACAAGGTGTCATCCGATTGAGTCACTGCCTGTGTTATCCAACTAAGATTGGAGTTATCGCTATCTCATCACAACTGTAAGTTACAGAGATCACACTTTCAATGCGGAAGTGCTAACCATTTAGCCACTGTGCTGCCCAATACCTCTTTAAGTTCGTCCTGAAAAAGATGGCACAGCCTATTCCTGTTACTCTCACAGCTCCAGTATGTGCATTGGGCAGCACAGTGGCTAAATGTTTAGCACTTCCGCCTGGCAGTACTAGGGTCGTTGGTGCGAATCCCAACCATAACACCACCTGCCTGGAGTTTGCACGTTCTCCCTGTGGCTGCGTGGGTTTCCTCCGGGTACTCCGGTTTCCTCCTACACTCCAAAGACATGCTGGTAGGTGAATTGGCTCCTGTCTAAATTGTCCCTAGTATGTGTATGTATGAATGTGAGTTAGGGACCTTAGACTGTACACCCCTTGAGGGTTAGGGACCTTAGATTGTACGCCCCTTGAGGGTTAGGGACCTTAGATTGTACGCCCCTTGAGGGTTAGGGACCTTAGATTGTACGCCCCTTGAGGGTTAGGGACCTTAGATTGTACGCCCCTTGAGGGTTAGGGACCTTAGATTGTACGGACCTTGAGGGTTAGGGACCTTAGATTGTACGCCCCTTGAGGGTTAGGGACCTTAGATTGTACGCCCCTTGAGGGTTAGGGACCTTAGATTGTACGCCCCTTGAGGGTTAGGGACCTTAGATTGTACCCTTGAGGGTTAGGGACCTTAGATTGTACGCCCCTTGAGGGTTAGGGACCTTAGATTGTACACCCCTTGAGGGTTAGGGACCTTAGATTGTACACCCCTTGAGGGTTAGGGTCCTTAGATTGTACCCTTGAGGGTTAGGGACCTTAGATTGTACGCCCCTTGAGGGTTAGGGACCTTAGATTGTACACCCCTTGAGGGTTAGGGACCTTAGATTGTACACCCCTTGAGGGTTAGGGACCTTAGATTGTACACCCTTGAGGGTTAGGGTCCTTAGATTGTACCCTTGAGGGTTAGGGACCTTAGATTGTACGCCCCTTGAGGGTTAGGGACTGACGTGAATGTACAATATATATGTAAAGCGCGGCGTAAACTGACGGCGCTATATAAGTACCTGAAATAAATAAATGAATGCCGGCCATAAACGCACACCAGGGTACAAAGCTCCTTCTCCACCTTAATATAATTCTGCTTCCTACTCCTTCCATAGGCTGTTGACTGTTCTCGGAGATTGGAATGTTCTACCCCGGAGAGGAGCGCAGATTGTCCCCGCTGATGGCGATTCCGTTAATATTTATGAAGTAGCAGATCCCAGGAGCCCTCTGAGACAAAACCGGCATGAACAGTATGGAAGCTGTCCACGGTAATCTGACACGGGAGGGCAGAGCGGGCGCAAAGAGGACTAAAGACACCTCAGAAATGGAATTCAGTGCCATTTTATTCCATATACTCAATGACGGAATGAGGATCATTTCTGTGCTTGGGGCACATTAGAGAGCTTAACGTTTTACTAAACCCACAACAGTACAATCAGTCTGTATGCGCAGTAAAGCATGCTTGTTATACTCACTGTGGAAATCTAAGGGGTTAATCCCTGCGTTGTGTAAAAAAGGTTGTTTGATCCGGTCTTCTCTGATCCTCCCCTTCTGCTACTGTCCCCAATCCATCTGCTGATAGTACAGAGCTCTTGGAGGCACTCTGCACATGTTTAGTTTAGTGTGTATGGCTAGAGAGTTTTTTTTTTTTCTTTGGGAGAGTGCATGTGATCAGCACAGGGCCAATCAACACTGTCAAGACAGAGGGTCAGGGGTTATGCAGCCTCATAGGACAGTCAGAGGAGAATTAAAACACCTACAAGATTAACCAGTGCTCTGCTGGACACTGATAGACGTCACAAGACTGCTAAAATAATTGCGATATAGTGAATGCAGGGTCCGGGGAGAGCGGATATAGTGAATGCAGGGTCCGGGGAGACCAGATATAGTGAATGCAGGGTCCGGGGAGACCAGATATAGTGAATGCAGGGTCCGGGGAGAGCGGATATAGTGAATGCGGGGTCCGGGGAGAGCGGATATAGTGAATGCGGGGTCCGGGGAGAGAGCGGATATAGTGAATGCGGGGTCGGGGAGACCGGATATAGTGAATGCGGGGTCCGGGGAGAGCGGATATAGTGAATGCGGGGTCCGGGGGAGAGCGGATATAGTGAATGCAGGGTCCGGGGAGAGCGGATATAGTGAATGCAGGGTCCGGGAGAGCGGATATAGTGAATGCAGGGTCAGGGGAGAGCGGATATAGTGAATGCAGGGTCCGGGGGAGAGCGGATATAGTGAATGCGGGGTCCGGGGAGAGCGGATATAGTGAATGCGGGGTCCGGGGAGAGCGGATATAGTGAATGCGGGGTCCGGGGAGACCGGATATAGTGAATGCGGGGTCCGGGGAGAGCGATATAGTGAATGCGGGGTCCGGGGAGAGCGGATATAGTGAATGCAGGGTCCGGGGAGACCGGATATAGTGAATGCGGGGTCCGGGGAGACCGGATATAGTGAATGCAGGGTCCGGGGAGAGCGGGATATAGTGAATGCGGGGTCCGGGGGAGCGGATATAGTGAATGCAGGGTCCGGGGAGAGCGGATATAGTGAATGCGGGGTCCGGGGAGAGCGGATATAGTGAATGCGGGGTCCGGGGAGAGCAGATATAGTGAATGCGGGGTCCGGGGAGAGCGGGATATAGTGAATGCGGGGTACCGGGGGGAGAGCGGATATAGTGAATGCGGGGTCCGGAGAGAGCGGATATAGTGAATGCAGGGTCCGGGGAGAGCGGATATAGTGAATGCAGGGTCCCGGGGGAGAGCGGATATAGTGAATGCAGGGTCCGGGGAGAGCGGATATAGTGAATGCAGGGTCCAGGGAGACCGGATATAGTGAATGCAGGGTCCGGGGAGAGCGGATATAGTGAATGCAGGGTCCTCCAGGGAGACCAGATATAGTGAATGCAGGGTCCAGGGAGACCAGATATAGTGAATGCAGGGTCCAGGGAGACCAGATATAGTGAATGCAGGGTCCAGGAGACCAGATATAGTGAATGCGGGGTCCGGGGAGAGCGGATATAGTGAATGCTGGGTCTGGGGAGAGCAGATATAGTGAATGCAGGGTCCCGGGGAGAGCGGATATAGTGACTGCAGGGTACCGGGGTCCGGGGAGACGAGATATAGTGAATGCGGGGTCCGGGGAGACCGGATATCATGAATGCAGGGTCCAGGGCTTTAGTAACGCTTTAAAGCTGAATTCCATGTATTGTTACATTAGTTACCTTGGACCAGCTTGGACAAATATACAGGTTGTGGCCAAAATTATTCACCCCCACTGAAATTGAGTGTTTTGGCCAGTTTGACATTGCTTTTGATCATTCAGTCATCTTGCTTACATTTACATTAAAGAGGCACTTGTAGGTCAGACAAATATAACATAACAGTTATAATGAAATAACCACAAATGTCTTTTCTGTGCTCACAGCATTATCAGTTTTATTCAACCCCCAAGTGACATTCAATCTTAGTACTTAGTACAGCATCCTTTTACAGTTTTATAACAGCTTTTTAAACGTGAAGCATAGCTTGACACAAGTGTCTTGCAGCGATCTACGGGTATCTTCGCCCATTCTTCATGGGCAAAGGCCTCCAGTTCAGTCACATTCTTAGGCTTGCGCACTGCAACTGCTTTCTTTAAGTCCCACCAGAGGTTCTCAATCGGATTTAAGTCTGGTGACTGCGATGGCCACTCCAAAATGTTCCAGCCTTTCCTCTGCAACCATGCTCTAGTGGACTTGGAGGTATGCTTGGGATCATTGTCCTGTTGAAAGGTCCAACGTCTCCCAAGCCTCAGGTGTGTGACGGACTGCATCACGTTTCCATCCCAATATCTCCTGGTACTGAAGAGAATTCATGGTACCTTGCACACGCTGAAGCTTCCCTGTACCTGCAGAAGCAAAACAGCCCCAAAGCATGATTGACCCTCCACCATGCTTCACAGTAGGAGCAAGGTGTTCTTTTCATCATAGGCCTTGTGTTCTTCCTCCTCCAAACATAGCGTTTGATCCATGGGCCCAAACAGTTCTAATTTTGTTTCATCAGTCCACAGAACACTATCCCACAACTTTTGTGGTTTGTCCACATGGCTTTTGGCATACTGCAGTCGACTCTTCTTATTCTTTGGAGACAGCAAGGGGGTACGCCTGGGAGTTCTGGCACGGAGGCCTTCATTACGCAGTGTGCGTCTTATTGTCTGGGCTGAAACTTCTGTACCCACATCTGACAAATCTTTTCTCAGTTCCTCAGCAGTCACACGGGGACTTCTCTCCACTCTACGCTTCAGGTAGCGCACAGCAGTCGAAGTCAGCATCTTCTTTCTGCCACGACCAGGGTAGCGTTTCAACAGTGCCCTTTGCCCTTGAATTTGCGAATGATGCTTCCTAAGGTGTCTCTTGGTATGTTTAACATCTTTGCAATCTTCTTATAGCCATTGCCCTTCCTGTGAAGAGAAATCACCTCTTCTCTTGTCTTCCTGGACCATTCTCTTGCCTTCACCATGTTTGTAACCACACCAGTAAATGTCTAGAAGGAGCTGAGTATCACAGTCATTTTAAAGCTGCCTAATTGGTGCTTATTATGCTTGATTGCTGCTCGGTGACATCCACAGGTGTTTTCAATACCTGATGGAAAGCACCTGTATGAACCTCTGTTCTTCAGAGTGGTAGTCTTTAAGGGGTTGAATAATTGTGGCAATGAAGAAACCACATAAGAACCATTTACTACTGTATTACATAAACAATTGATGTCATTTTAGTTGCATTTGGGTAGTTACAAAACGTCCTTGTAGGATTTGATTCTGAATACAATTCCAAATGTACACTATAGTCCCTAAACCCCTTTACAGCATTGGGGGGTTGAATAATTTTGGCCACAACTGTAGCTACAGTATATACATGCTATACCTATGGGATCCCCTTGGAAGCTGAAAATTACTGTAGTAGTCTGGTCTCAGGGAACCCCTGCTAAAAATGACTAGATCTACACCTCATGATACATTAGTGTGATGGCTCGTGGGAAGAATGCTCAAAGAACCTCTAGCAACCTCTGGAGGAACCCCAGGGTTCAAAAGGAACCCTGGTTAAGAAACCCTGTTCTAGAGGGATCCCACAGATATGAAACATACATACATACATTGGTCAAAGCTATAAAACTTGCCATACCTGGAATTCATCTTTTTTTGTTTCGATAGAGTATCTATTAATAATAGTTAAGTCCATGAACCATGGAAATGAAAATGTTTCTTCACTTGTCCTGGAGATGGAAGTAAAAAAAACAAAAAAAAAAAAAAAGAAGAAGGTCTTCCCAAGTGAGAGGAATTTCCTTTGCAGACAGTTGTCACCACACTAGGAGTCCCTATTGGAAGTATCACCCCCTCCTCTCCCCTACTCTGGAGACCCCTGTAACTTTTTGGAACTCCCACCACTTTCTGTCCTGGTGACAATGATGAATCTCCATAGCACAGACAAAGTTCCACGCTCTACTATCCAAACTAGAAGCAAACAGTTTTCGGCATACATACTCTTCATGAGTAGAGTTCTTCCTCAAAAATGTTTACCCCCCAACAATTATTTGCTGTATTAATCTACTTCAATTGTTTTCAGAAGAAGAAATTTTTGTTGGATCTTTATGGCTCTCCAGGCCGGAGCCAAGTGGGGTTTCTCAGTTTGTTCTCCAAAGATCCAGGGAGGACAATCAAACCTCCATGTCACACTAACTCTTTAAACTGGTTGGTGTTCCTTTTATTACCCCTCTTTTCCCATTTTACAACTCCTCACTTTGTTACATCCTTTAATTTTTTCAGTTTTGGTGACCCTTAGGCTCGGTTCACACTGCCAAGACATGGGATTCGATTTGTGAGACCTCAAGTCACATGACATGTGAAATCCCAGGTTAGTCAATGAGAGCTGCCTACTGAAGTTGCTCCAATTTTAGAAAAGGTTCCTGTACTACTTCAAGGCGACTTCTATCTGACTTGTGCCCATAGTCTTTATTAGAAGTCACCTCCAAGTCGGATCCTCGTCTATATGGATGGGATTTGGATCCAACATTACAGGAAGATTACCCAGACATTCCCTGAAAGCTGCCTCAAAGTTGCTTCAGAATTGCTACAGAGTTGTTTCAAAGTCACTTCAAAGTAGTAGTCAAGTCGCATGGCAAAGTCGCACGACTTCCAGGTAGCAGTAGTGTGAACCGATACTTACGATATACAGAGCAGAAACACCAGAAGAAACCCAAATTGATCTGATTGCAACTGCAAGATCTGTGCAGAGGAGCTGTAAAGGACAATCACTGTGGGAGCCTACTAAGCAGGAAGCACGGCATGCAAACATGGCTTCCCGTATATCAAAGTCACCCGTATCTTTATAATATTAAGGGTCCATTCACGCTACAAGGTGGAGCCCTTCAATGAGTAATGAGAAGCATCCAAATCAGCAGCAGACGGATCCATGCACCCATCTGCCCCCATCCAGTATAAATGGTCTCAGAGGGCTCTTATGAAACCACACAGTCTTTTTCTGGCCTGTGCCATCTGGACCTTTGGCCTGAGAACCAAAGAAGAAAACCATATTTGGCTAGACAAACGTGAAGAACCACTGCCATCGACGAGGTCAAATTACTCCACACAAACATCACCTTAGTAGCCGCCTAGTCTTTTGGATGAAGAGACAAATTCTTCTTAAACGGACTCACTGCAAAGGTTATGGGACGTGTCCCAGGCACTGCCTCCCAATTGCTCAGAAGGGGCCCAGAGAATAGAGCCAATACCTAGGTACTAAGAGCTCAGGACAACATTAGTCTGCATCTGCTAAATGGTCATTAAGGCCTCATGCACACTAGACTTTTTTACAGCGGCTGTTTTTGGCGTTTGGCATTTTTTTTCTACAGCCATTAAACTCCCCAGTATGTTATCCTATGTTTCCATGCATACGTAGGCTTTAAAAGGCGTTTTTTGGCTGGAAAAGCCCCAGAACTAGCGGTTTTCTAGAGGAGTTTTTTACTGTAAAAATGCTAACGCTGGTAAGTGCGGTAAAACGTGGTAAACCAGCATTGTTTAGCATCTTTTGAGCCAATTTTTGTTTATTTTTTTCTGTAAAAAACTAAAAAAAAAAAAAAAAAAAAAAAAAAAAAAAAAAATGCTAACGTGGAAAAATGTGGCTAAATGCTAATTTAAAAAACGTTTCTAACACGACTTTACACAGCTAACACTACCGGAATTTTTAAAACTCCCAGTGTGCATGAGGCCTTATACTCCATCTGGCATTTGGATATGGTTGCCCATATGACCTAAATGTTTAACCAGATTATGGTAAACTCGTAATAAGTGCAGTTACCCTTTAAATATATCAGATCTCCAAGATGTCTGTCCTCTGAGGTTAACACACTCAGTTCACCCTACACTTTTATATCAAGATCAGCATCCTAGACATGACCTTGGATCTATGCAGGACATTGAAGATGTTGTTGCGTAACAGATGACCTCTGGTTGGTTGTGAGAAGTTCTGGACCTAAATACTTCACTGGACCTTCAAACTAAGATATGTTCCTGCTAAGGTCACCAAACCCTTGGACCTTAATCAAAATTACATCTGATATTTCTACATTAAGAAACTCTTGCTAACACCCCTGGACATCTCCATTTTATGAATTCAACCAACATTTGGACTTTTAACCCAGAAGGACCTTCGTGACATCACCAAGCTGTCTTATCTCAGAGATGATGTCATCAGTCCCTAGCCAATTGGAAGGCTGCAGTTTTATGAATATTGATTCAGCTGCCCCCTCCCTTCCATGTTAATTACTCTAACTTTAATCTATAATTTAGGTCAATATGTCTCTCATGATCCATTGGGGAGTCCACTAAAGTCTTAAATCTGGCTGAAACCCGATCAGTGAACAATAAAATGTGACAATACTATTTCACTACTTGCTCTTACGAAACCCCTATCATCGTCACAATGAAGAAGAAGAAAAAAAAAAAAAACAAGATATGATTTCACAAAAACCGTTATATTAAAACTTATGCTAAGTATGGCAAAAGCTGAGAGTCCCTTTAGATTTATTAGAGAGCCCAACAGATGCAACACACATAGAACGCCAACCGGGAGGTGAGGACCTGTCTAGACTGAACAGTTAAGGAGGAAGCGATACAACATTAGAAACTGATGGGACG